ACAAATTTCCTTAAATTCCAAAATTTGTATTTCAAAGGGTGTGTTGGCAGAATTAATTACTCTGGTTGACTGCGTTTTCTAATCAACTAAGGTAGATTTTGTTTATTACAATTCTGGCTGAAAATCTTTCGAATAGCAGACAATCATGCCGTAGAAAGAGAAATCATTGCTCTCCCCTGGGCATCATTCTGAATACTCAACTGCACTCTAAGGTATCTAAGGAGAAATGGAGAAGAAAAAGTATTCTGTTCTCAGGATAATCCCAAATGTTAGGGGGTATACCATGACTTGTCTAATAATAAACTTTGTGTACATCTGCTTGGCAATCTTCTTTCCACTAAAAAGTAAACGGAAGAAAAAAAGTAGTGCGAGAATAGTTCTTGAATTAACGATTAGTTGGGTTCCGTTCAATGTCTAGCTAAGTATTATTTTAACTGCCTCATTATATTCCATTCAGTCAATATTTCATAGTCATTCATTTCATTTTTAAACCTAGTTTCCTTATCTTTTTCAGGGCCCAAATATAAATCCACAAACCTAAAAGACATCACTATTTCCCCAATATATTATTTACCTATTTCAAGTCCCTGACTTTGCTGAGAATGTAACAAAAGCTATGGGGTCTCTACCCAGAAAACCGCATATTCGCCAAAACACAGCTGGTGGACACCGAGATAAGCAACCCGGCTCTATTCCTAGGACAGATACCTGCCCGATACAGCCTGGCTGGGCCCCCTCCCTTCTTTTGGGGACTGTTCTTCCCCCAACTCCAACAGGTAGGAGCTGCCATTGTTCCATAACTGCTTAGTCCAAAGGGAGGCCCCAACTGATTGAAGCCAGAGCAACTGGAATCCCTCCATGGGATTTTTACAACTGAATCGAAGACAGAAAGTCCCTTTTAGGGGGCAGAAATGACAAAATGTGAAATTCAGGAACCATCAGTTCCCTGCCCTGTGCAGGAAACCAATCAGCTATGAACAAGAAGAAAGCCAAGACAGACAGAAAAATCCCGACAGCACCCAAGCACCTGATCCCAATTGTTCTGGAAGCCCAGCCCTATTCCTGTTCTTCTCCCGGTTTGATTCATTCTTCCTTCCACAGTGACAGACCTCCAAAACCCTCCCACTATTTTAAATTTTTGCCGAAGCTCATTTGTGTTTCTACGGCTTGCGATCCAAAGATTTTAACACTAATACTGGCTACTTCTAAACACTATACTTACTTTAAACAAGTTTTATGTTCTTTAAAATTTTTCTATACAGATAATGTCTTCCTCTAGATATTTAAATAGGTTTTTAAATATTAATATCTAAAAGGCTCACATTTCACTCTGCATAAAAATCTTTGAGAATATCTATTTAAAACAAGACTTGGCTCCTATCGTTCCACATGCTCCACACACCATTAAAATACAACTTTAAGAAGCTAGCTGCCTGATCGTTTTTAGTTTAATTCCAAATGTAACAAGACAAAATTGCCTTCTTAAGTCATCTTTCCCTTTATGTATTCAATTAGATTCTCTGCTTAAAATACTTAAAATAAAAATTGGCAATGATCCATCCACTGATGGGTATTTTAAGTTAGAAAGCAGCAACATATCAAATGAACCACACAAAGTCAGGCTGATTCTTGTTGTTGAAAATTACCACCACGATGGACTTGAAAATTTCCACCTTAATTGCAATTTTTACATTTTAATCAAATAGACTTTGACTTAATAGACTACAATGCAGTCCAACTACAATCAACCCACCCAACTCTTAGTTCACACATCCCTTAAAATCACATTTCCTTCCCTCTGGTCATGGGTGTGAAAATTCCCTGAATGCTGCTGCATTTGCAAGGTTATAATAGTAATGCAACTTTTGTTATATACTACTAGTATTCCTAGTCTACGGCTCCTAATATAATGCTACGAACCTAGTGGATTATAAAAATAGTTGAATCTTGAAGTTAAAAAAAAAACTTGGAAATCATCCAGTCCAATCCCCTTATTTCACAGATGCAAACATTGATACAAAAACTAGTTAACATGCCCAAGGTCAACAGAATTAGAGAAAGAACTGGAATACAGATCCAATGAGCTTTTTACCATAATACGTAGAAGATTCCCAATCACCTTATAAGATGCCTACATGATGAGATAAATATGCCGTTCCCCTTAGTGTTCCAAATGTATGGTTATTTCTTTTTTTTTTTAATTTTATTTATTTATTTTTTCCCCCAAAGCCCCAGTAGATAGTTGTATGTCATAGTTGCACAGCCTTCTAGTTGCTGTATGTGGGACACGGCCTCAGCATGGCCGGAGAAGCGGTGCTTCGGTGCGCGCCCGGGATCGGAACCCGGGCTGCCAGCAGCGCAGCGCACGCACTTAACCGCCAAGCCACGGGGCCGCCCCATGTATGGTTATCTCTAATTGTCCTTAAGACAAACCCAAATGAATTTTAAAAGCATGAAATTGCTATATATTCATGACAAATCTTTTCCCATTAATTCTGATCACATTAGAAATGTAGGGAAAAACTGATGTGAATGATCTGTTCCTTCTCTGCTATGCTTTGTCAAATATCCCCATTCATATACAACACTATGCTTGGTCCTTCTTAACAATGCTGACATATTTATTCTCATACTATAAACTTTGGTGCACACAAGGTCATATAAAAACATTTATCTAATGTCAGTCTTTGTCACCTAAAATGAAATCAACCAGAAATACATGGCACTAAGTGCTTAGATTTCATCTTTATATATATGTCCTTTCTTTTTTTCAAAAATAAGAAAGAAAATTGACATTTTGAAAAACAAGGCTGTGAAACAGACCTTTCTTATGTCAACTTAGAGCCCTCAAAATAAAGATATTTGGACAAAAATATGAGGGGCATTTTAAGCAATCTTTTGCACAGTGGCTGACCCTATGTGCCCAATATAATTTGCTGAATGAATAACATTGTTACATTACATACTATGGAAACTTGACTCCTTTTATGACGATACTTAGAATTGCTAACTTTTCTTGTAGGCAAAAGAAAATAACATGAAATTCACTGTCTACAAATCATACATTATTTTATAAGCCTTAAGTAGTTGCAAAATATTTCCAACTAGCAAGAAAGTCTAAACAAATGTAGCAATTCATAAATATAAGGTAGCAACACAAGTGGTTACAGTAAAACATGCACAATTAGAAGATTTTCCAAAGTAAACTGGAATTCAGACTAATTCTCAGACTCTTTTTCAGCAGCATATTGTTGACACTACTTTACTAGATTAAACTCAGATACAAACATACTCCTGACCAAAACACAACTCCAAAGGAGATAAAAGCACCCATAAATACAGAACTAACAACATAAATTTTTTTAAAAAGGAAACTAACAAGAGAAATAATAAAAAAAGCTTTACAGAATTAGACATAACTCTAAATTGTAGACTTATTTATTACGTAGGAAAAATTTCATTTTATTTACTATAATAAAACAGGAGAGTTTTGGTGCATTAATATATGCTGTTGTAGAAGCTTACATTCCTAATTGCTAAAGAAGTTGTCAGGAAGTTAAAATGAACTTCAAGAAATCAGGCGTTAGGCTGATAGACATAATCATTTCTCAACCTTCTTAAAAACAGTCACTCCATGCAAACACAATCAATCCTGGTACTGTTTCACCTTTTTCCCCAGCTCAGCTGGCAGAAGAAAAATACAAATACAATGCTTTTGAGCCATTTTAAACACCTTCATTAAATTGAAACTGTTCTTTAAAACACCAACATGGTTTTCTGTCATTTCTATTATGCTGAAAGGAACACACAGACATCCATTGAAATCAAAAGTAGGGAAACCAAGCTTACACTTTTCCTCAGATGCCAAGTGACTGCAGTGAGTAAGGTCATGGCCAAAATTCACAGGCTCATTTAAACTTTCACGGCTCAGCCAACAGCTCCGATCATGTTTCCTGATTCTAAGGAGATTAAAACTGCAGGAGTTTCTCGCTGGAAGATCAGCAGGAGGCTTTTTCAGACCCTCAAACCGCAGTCCGCATAGCCCGCAGCGGCGCACCTTCCATCACCTCCGGCTGGGTGTTAAGCTAACCTTTCCAAGCGCTCTCCTCCAGCCTTTTAAACAAACTCCCCAAACGGGTGCAGTCAAACCAAGACCACCTTCTATCCGCGCCTGCCAAGACTCCCTCCCGCTGTCATCCCCCGGGCCGCCCTTCCGCAGTCGGTGACTTCGGCCTGGCTCCCCAAGGTGGGGGAGGAGGAGTGGGGAGGAAGACTCCCCGCCAAGCAGCTCCTCAGCCGGCACAGCGGCAGGGCGATGCGGGCGAGAGCAGAGGAAGATGCTAAAACACCAGTGCCATATTTACACTGGCTTTTTCTCTGCCAAAAAGATTCCTTGTATCCAATGATACCGCCTTTAAAGGAAAAAAAGGACCTAAGCACTAAAGCCGCTGCTCCAATCTCCCGGATCTCCACTATTTTCATCCCTGTTCGCCCGCGGGGAGGCTCCGGACGCTCCTAGCCTGGGACAGGTACACCTGCGCGGAGGACCCGGCCGCCCCACCGCCGCCAGCAGAAGGGAGCGATCGCCAGGACACTGATCCCAGCAGCCCCCGCCGGGGCTGACAGCCCAGGCGCAGCCGGGCCCCGCACAAACTTCCCAGTTCCGGGGGTGCGGGGACAGACCCGCGGGCGGACGGCCGCGGGGCGGCACTGGCCGCCGGGTTCAAACGCAGACGGAACCCCTCGCCCTGCACCCGGCCCTACGTCCAAAGGGGGTCCAAGTGGCGCCCAGGTGGCCCGGAGGGGCGGGCGCGCGCCGCGGGGCTGGGGGCACCGAGGCGCCGCGGCGGGCGGGCAGCCCCGGAGGGAGAGCAGCCGGAGGGCCGGGGCCCCGCTGGGGCTCCCCGCCCCGCAGCAGCTGCAGCAGGAGGAGGAGGGGAGCGAGGAGGAAGAGGAGGAGGAGGAGGAAAGGGACTGCGCGCCGCAGCCCGAGCCCTTACCGAGTGGTTTACCCCCCACATCAGGACGCTGAGCAGCGGATCGCTGGCCCGAAAGAGCTTCACTTTCTGCGCTACGAAGTGCTTCTTCTTGGTCTTGGTCTTGCTCGCTAGGACGGAGGACCCCAGGTTGCTGGGGGTCGCCATGGCCGCCGCCTCTGTCCCCTCCACCGCCGCGCTCCCGAGGCCGGGGACCCGCCCTCTCTACACGCCGGCCCGGGG